GACCCTGCCTTAACAGAAACGCTCTGATGGCTCGAGAGAACAGGCTTAGGAAGAAAGCATATCTCGAGAAAATAGAAAGCAAACTGTCATTTTATCAGCAAGAAAATAAGAATTTGGTAAATGTTATAAGGAAACAGAATATCGACATTAAAAGGTTGAGCGGCGAAGTTACATACCTCAGAAGCATTCTAAACAACAACACGAGTATCACTGCGTTGCTTAAGACTATCAATGAAGGCCTCCGAAAAATGAGTACACAGAAGAATAATTCGTTACACCCAAACCATGTCTCCGAATATCCAGTTGAACTGGAAACCCGTCACAAATGTACGTGTTACCCGAATGCTAAGGAGAATATATTTAATGTTGAAAGTGGTAACATGCTTGTTACAAATGTTAACAATGATACGTTAACGGAGCAAAGTACAATTGAGAATAATGTCAGTGAATCTCATCTCGATACGAAAAAAGGAATCACATGTAAGAATATTAATTTTGACAATATTGATGTATCTTCTTTACATTTTGATCATACTTACACCATTTCTAATGATTCTACAGTGGATACCAAGAATAATTCGAAAAGTAAAAATCTGATAAATATAATAACTTCAACAACAGATTCAATATCTGAAGACAGTTACATGGACAATACAAAAGATTTGGATGATTTGTTACCAATTACTCAAGCTGATTTATCCAATATTAATGGGAAGAAGAATAATGATGCTATCGGAATTGATTTCGATCAATTATCGACATTCAATATGGATATATTTGAAGATCTTCCTAAGTGTGATGAAATGATGAACACAGTGGATAATTTAAATGATTCATCCAATCTTTTTGCGGAGGAAGAAATTTCTCCAAATTTAGATAATACTGGAATATGCCTTCATGTAAATTCCGATAAAGTATCTTTGGAATTTTGCTCCATTTGCCATTTAAATAGCAAGAACACAGGATCGAATTGAAGGGGGAATTGATCGTAATTTAAGCTCACTCGATAATGAGTCCTACCTAGAAGAGACTAGAGATTCAGCCAAGGAGTATAAAAGTATTTCATGATCAGTGGAGTATCAAATATAAGAGAAGAATAGGACAATGTATTATTTGATTATTTTTTTATTATAGATATTTTACAAAACATTAGAAAATGATATATGTGTGTGTATATATATATATGTACGTCAGTAGTAGACATTCTATGTCTTTCCAGGTATATCAAGAAGATATATATCACCATCTAGGTCTACCTGTTGTTTCAACATCATGAGACCATTTTCCTTGTGGAGCGAAAGTTGCGTTAATTAGTATTCATGTTATATATATATATATGTAATATATATACATGCATGCATGCAACATATATATGTTGACATGTTCATACTTCTCTTATAAGTATCAAAATTTGGTAAAACTTTTTATAATTATGACTGGTAACGAGTAATAGTATACGACTATTTGTCACTCTAGACTGCATTGCTAATCCTTTTCAGGGATGACATTGAACAAGTGAATCATTTTTATAAAATTTTATTATGTTTAGTTATAGTCAATAATGTCCTGGGTTATTATTAGTTACTTTATGTGTTACGCAATCGTGTATCACTTCTTTTCCCCTAAAACTGTAACTGTTTGCTTTTTCAGGATGATTACATTGGCATTGAAGTTTACTAGCAAGGATCATACAGAAAGGTGGGCAATTTAATGTAGATAATTAGTATTTTAAATCTGTTAAATTGGAAATTTCATATTCAATGTATAAGAAATACAATATTTTTGTTTCATTTAGCTCGGTCTGGCATTCCTGATGCGCTTGCTTTAACTACAGTAATGTAGTAGATCGAAGTAAATACGATGAGCTGTTGCGGGAAATGCACATGGAATTACGATCACCCCCTTCATTTACACATTTCATATGATTATAAGCAGGTTGAGTAAAAATGTGGCAATATTTTTGGTTAAAATGATATAATGGTAACTTCCTAAAAATTCACTTAAAGAACATCATTTCAATGATTCAGTTTCAGTTGCGTTTTAAGGATATTCCTGCCAGTATGGAACAACATTCCATCCACTGATCGAGTGTAGTGGTAAACTGATAGTGAAGTTCAAAAATTAAATGACAGTTTCTTTTAAAATATTATTCAGAAGCGCTCTTGTAATGCCAGAATTTTAGTTTTTCACAGTCCTACAAAATTTTCTATCGCGAGAAAAGTATTTAAAAGTATTGAAATTTATATTTTTAGAGAAAAGTATACAAATTCTAGAGTATATTTTCGTTCTCGAGGGAAAAGAAGTGGGACAAATTAACTTATTGTTATAACATGTATAGTATTTTTTTTATTTTTTATATTACAAAAAACATCACTTTTGCACGTAACTCGAGCGAATATTGAAAATTAGGTATTATTACTTTGATTTTATGTATTGAAGCATGAGTTCCCTCTGGGACTTACGATTGTTATGTACAAACCCAAATTCATTCATGTGTAAACTACAAAAATCATAAATTATTTTGTATAAAAAGTTGTTTATTAGTATTAAACAATGTACTGATTTTTCTAATATCATTTCCTGATTAAAAGTCATATATTTGTATACATTTCATATTCGTGTTAATAAAAACGTACATCTAAGACTGTTAATTAATATGAAAAGATTGTACGGAAAATATAATTTTTATACGCTTTTATGAAAATAAAAGTATAATTGTATTGTTAAATGTACCTGCATCTTTTAATGAAATTACGAGTCTACAATGATCGATTACTAGAAAATAATAAGATTTTTGAAGAGTCTTCATATTTAATGTTACTTTTTAATTAACACCATTTAATGATAGTAAGTACTTTCTGTACTTCTACATACTATATTGTACGAAACTATTTAACTTTGTACAAAGAAGTCTTATTTGTAGACATATTAATTTAATACAAGGGATTCATAGTATTCAAATTCCAAGGCGACTGAAAACATCTGGTTTCTTTAGATGTGCCACTGTTGTAATTCTATCAAAAGTTACTTGTTTAGTGCCAGTTGGCTTTACTGTTCCCAAACGTGCTTTCGCTGGTATCGAAGTCAGTCGTTCAGAGGCTAAAAAATTATTAATTATGAAAGTAATAAAAATAGTTACAGCATGGAAAATAATAATAGCACTAAAACTATATTACATACCTAATTTTCCGGATGTAACGCTAGACTTTGTTGTTCTAGTATTGTTTGAAGATGTGTTATTGAAAGAAATTTTTTTACTTGTTTTCACTAGTTGAGTCATATTGCTTGTCATAACTTTTCTACTAGCTTCTTGATCAGCTCTCATTGTCCCCATGGTTTTTGGTATTACTTTATTTGTTGTAATGATGGAGGTTCTCGTGCCAGTACTTTTAGTCTTTAGTATTCCCGTACTAGATGCTCCATTTTTTAATATACCTACTTGAGTTGTATTATCTTTCTGGGCATCTTTATCTCCTAATCGTTTAAAGACACTTATAGATCTCTTCAACACATCTTTTCCTAATCCAGTAATATTAAATGTTGGAGATGTTTCTGCCAGGTTTGTTGTACTGGTTACAGAACTATCACCTAGTCTATCGAAAACAGTTCTCTTTTGTTCTGTAGACTTTTTAAGAATCTGTTGACTTCTAGATGTTGATCCTTTTGGAAGTATTACTGTATAGCCTACTTTATCATCCTTATTATCTAATGACTTTATTTTTTTAACTGTTCCATTCCATTCTTCTTCATTGTTACTGTCATATTCTTCATTATCTAATTTTCTTTTGAGAATAGTTTGTTTCTTTTGATTGGTAAAGTCCGCTATTACTTCGTTAGATGTGGATACTGGTTTTTTAACACTAACAGTTTTCTTCACTGAACTTGTCGGAACTTTCACAATCTTCTTTGTGACTACAGCATCAGATTTAACTTTGGAAGCCACTGTTTTAATAGGTGTTTTAGTCACTACTTTCTTTGCGATTTGTTTCGGAATTGTGGATGGGTCTTCTGTATCGACAAGAAATCTTTCACACGTCGTCTCTTCGACTACTTTCTTTGCATACCTTAAAATCGCAATCATATCTCCCATTAAAGTTATGCCCATTTCTTTTAGACTAGGTTTGTCCAAATCTGGCAGCATATCTGGTTTTATACGATTATTAGAAAATACAACGGCATGCTTTGTGGCTACATCTTGAGGAAATCCTGCACCCTTAAAGAATTTTACCCAATATGCTACAGAGAGAAAAAAGAACAAGGACATTAAAGGTGTATTACAAAAATAAGAAAATAGCGAAAGGAATCTATAAATACCTGATAACGATGATGCCATTTCACCGGTTAGGTTATTTCGTATATATTGCTCGATAACGCTTTTCAAATAACTTTTTCACTGAATATCTACCGTTTAAAGGAAACTCATAAATACTGTAGCACACATTTCACAAACCTAAGTTTTCCTGAAGAATATCACTTGAAACAGGAAATATGATCGAAGAGTGAACGTACAATCCTGTTCTAGCCGATTATGTTAGTTCTGTAAAATACTTAAATATTCTGTTTTCGAATACGCGTTACAAAATATGATTAAAAAATGATAATAAACATTGGCATTCCATTGCTTGATGTTTCAGGTCTATTCACGTCCATTTCTATATAAGTATATTTATATGCATACAAACGCAAATACATAAATGAAAATAGGATGGTCCAGTGAGAGTATACAGGACCATTGCATACAGCGACACCACCGGCATACGCGTGTACTGATCGTTGTAATTTTTTGTAAGCGAACTATAAACTTCATTGATATTTAAAGATTTTAATGAAACATATTGCTAGATAATTTTTTATTTCTTCCAGATATTATTACGTATCCATTAGGAATTAATCTGTCACGTCGCATTGCATTCTAACATGTTTGCTCTATGTTTAATAACTATACTCGAAAAGTATCAATTAATAATCGATTAATAACTCAGCTCTGCCATCGAATGAACAAACAATCTTTTGTTTATAATCAACCTATCCCTTTACAGATTTCATACAGATAGAACAGACATATTAATAGATTAAACAAATAATATACAACTATATTATATTGAGACAATTTTCCTGCTGAATTTATCAAATGAAACATTCGATTTTTTTAGATGGTAGCGTCGCAATATAATTAGTTCTGCTCATACACAAGCTGCAAAAAAGGTTAAAGTCTATTATCCGCTTCAATTATATAAAAGTTCAGTTAGATTTACTCGTTGCTCCGTAAGACAGTCCTAATTAATTATTCCGCGAACAATTCGTTTATTTAACATAATCTAGAGTTCTCTTAAAATATAAATGGATCACGAGCAAAGCGCCCACTAGTTCTACGTATAACAATGTCGATGGAAACCTTGGTCGATAGTTAAAGAAAAAAAGAAAAAAAGGAAAAAACAATCGAATCCCCGACACGCTCGAAACGCAAAGTGGAAGGAAAAGGGACACGCAATTTTCAGTAATGTAATGGAAGTGTCGCCGTTCTATGTAGAAAAACGTTCATGCCTCAGTGTCCGTGAAGTCTCAGAGGAATGGAGTTACCCTCGTTGTTTTGGGGATTTCGCGCGAATTACCGTACTATTTTTATCGTGTGTGGGTGAATCAGGTGTCTTAGTCGCCTTCGATACTATTTTTGATATCTTGGTATTCACCGAGCTGCCTGCTGCGCGGGATTCGCGTTCTAGAAAGAAGAACGGGAGGTTAGTTCCGACCGATGTGTTCGGGTACGTTAAAGTCGACGGCTCGCTCGATATCGGACCGATCCGGGGGATCAACAGTGCTAAATCTGTTTCGCCGAATATCAGGAAACCAGGAATAAAACGAAAAACGAACGGTACCTACTCACCGGGGGGAAAAAAAAGACACGGTCTCCGACTTCGTCTCCCGCTTGAAAAACTCGCGGGTATTTACCGTACGGTCGATTCAACATCCGAATTCGTCGATTTTTTAAATCGTCATCGTAAATCGATCGTCATCGATCGATCGAAAGATACGTTTGTCATTTATTAACCGTCGATTAACCGACTCGCTTTTCCCATTTTTACCACCCCGTACCGTGTACTTAAAGAAAAAAAAAATTTCTACGATCGCATCGAGGCGACGTTAATCTATCCACCCTTAAC